GAGACACTAGATGGAGCCAGCCTGCAGCTGCTTAGAGTTCCAGACTCAGTTGGTCCCTCTCCAAGATGGCTTCCCACCAGTTAGAGCGGACCACTGTGTTCACTGCTCCATTTCACCGGTGTGCTTCTCTTTAAGACCTCTGGGGTATGCCAATAGTTACTACGTGTCTGCAGATTCAAGCCAGCCCTCCCATGCAGTGAATCAGGGCTCCAGGAGAAAGGACCGGGACCATTTTCTTCTTCACTGAACTCTCTCTCTTTGCTCTCCCCTTGGGTTTCAGTTCTTGCTTTGGATCCTCGCTGAGTCCTGGGGATACACATCCCTTCTTTTTCTCTTTCTCATGTTACTGTATTCCAGCATCTGGACCAGGATTACATTTTAGTAAATGGAAACAAATCTATTGTATGCTTCATGGGCATTCAGTAACCCATGGTCAGAAGCTGAAAACAGAAAAGGAAAAGATGAGAAAGCTAGGCGCATGCCTGCAGTCCCAGCACTAAGGAAACTGAAGCAGAAAGTGCACAAGTTCGAGGCCAACCTGGACTATCTAGTGAGTTCAAGTTCAGCCTGAATGTCAAAACAAGGCCCAATCTCAAAAAACTTCTTTAAAAAAGAAAGAAAAAAAAAAAAAAAAAAAAAAAACCTAGGGGTTGAAACCAGGTACAGTACCACACACTCGTAATCTGTTTACTTGGTAGGCTGAGGCAGAAGGACCTCAAGTTTCATGCCAGCATGCGCAATTTATCAAGACCCTACCTCAAAATAAAACAGGGCTGGGGATGTAGCTTAGTGGTACAGCACCTGCCTATCATGCACAGGACCCTAGGTTTGATCCTGTACCAGCAAAAAAAAAAAAAAAGTAGAAAACATGTTACAGGTTTAGAGTATTTCTCAGATACCAAAAATTTGAGAGACAGACTTTCTAGCAATGTATGCATATTTTAGGGGAATGAATGATTTATCAGGTCTTTGTTAGGGTTGGGGGTTGATAAGCACATGCCTGCAATCCCATAGTTTCATTATGTAGCCTCAATTGGTCTTGAATTCACTATGTAGCCCAGCCTGGCCTTGAACTTGCTGTGATCTACCTATTTTAGATCTTCTGAATGCTGGAATTACAGGCATCTGCCACCATGCTGGACTGATTTGTTACAGCTTATCCCAGCACAGAATTTATAAAACTGTCTGCCTCTCTGTGTTCTGATCTCATGCTCACCTCCCTGCCCTGTGATTTTGATAGGTTTTGATATATGTTGTTTATCAGGACAGATGGTACTCAAGATGCAACATGAGGGGCTAGGGGTTTAGCTCAGCGGCGTAAGCACCTGCCTTGCAAGCAGGCGGTCGTGAGTTCGATCCCCGGTACCGATAAAAATGAGAAAGACAAAAAAAAAAAAAAAAAAAAAAAAAAATCAAGATGTAACATGAGCACTTTCTAGTCAATGAAAGGAATAGATCTGAGGTCGTAAACTGGAAGCCCATAAATTATACAAATGCAGGGATCTGGAAGAGGTGGTGCATGGGCTAATTCTAGCACTTGGGAGGCTGAGGCAGGAGGAACATGGCAAGTTCAAGGTGAGGCTGGGCTACATAGTGAGTTCAAGACTAGTCTGGAATAGATATTGAGTCCTGTCTCAAAAACAAACAACAAAGCAAGTACAACTAGGGGGGTGTGGTTGTAATACAGTAGACCCCCAAAATTCCTGGAGGTTATATACTTAGAGTATCTGTGAATTGTGAAAAACTGAATTTCAGATATGGTCAGAGGAATACCTATTTTTATAGTTTAAATTCCATCTGTGATGGCTCCCACAATTATGCAATTTAATAAAATACTGCACGAATAAAGCCTTAGAAGGTATAGGGCATTTTGGCGACATTTTAGGGATCTTACTGCTTTATGAAGAATAAAACCTAAAACACTTAAGCTAGCCATAAAGGGCACAGCAACCTATTAAGATGCAGGTGTATCATATGGCAGCAACCAATCAGCAGCAGAACTGAATCTGCTCTCTGATTGGCTACTTGCATACCTCTTGCCAATAAACAATTAAAGAGCACATTAGCGGTTTCTGAGAAGTTGCAAGAGTTTCCTTCAAACAATTATTAGTTATGTTCTAAGGAGAAATCCACCAAAGACTGAGGCCACAAACTCTCAATCATAACTTCACAGGGGTGTCCTGTACCTGTAATCCCCAGAACTCATGGAGAGTGAGGTAGGAGGATGCAAATTTGTGCCTAACGTGGGCAACCTGGCAATTTAGTGAGAACTTGTTTTAGAATAAAAATAAAAAGGACTGAGGATATAGCTTCTGGGCTCAGTCCTCAGTATCACTAGAGAAAACATGTAGGCTTGGTTTAATATGAACTGCACTATGTTAAAACAACATTTTTTTGAGACCAAACCATTTTAAGATTTTATTTTACATTTATGTTTATAGTAATATATAACATTTAATTGTTTCAACACAAAAAATCCAAAAAACTTTCCAACTTACCTTCTTAGTAACTCTTATAGGAGAGAGATTATACTTTATCTTGCATCTTCAGTATAATATTCACTTCCTTCATATAGGACGCATTCAATATATATTTGTTTACTCGATACATCTGCTATTCTTTGGAAGAAGCAGGGATACTTTTACAAAAAGCAAACTGTAATTTGTATAGAGAGTGACCAAGATAAACAGAGAACAGAAAAGGCAAGTTAACAGGTCAAATTTTAGACTGGAAAAGCAGAAAACAAAGGGACCTTTGCTTTTTCCAAGAAAGTTTTCTGCCCTAAAGAAAAGGAATTAGGGACTGGGGATTCAGCTCAGCAGCATAAGCACCTGCCTTGCAAGCAGGCAGTCGTGAGTTCGATCCCCGGTACCGATTTAAAAAAAAAAAAAAAAGAATCAGGAGTTAGTATTAGTAATAACTGTGATAATGATAAATGTTTATTGGCTCTATCCTCACCAGGGGAATCATGAGATTGGGACAGTTACTATCCCTGTTGTACAGCTAAGGAAACTGAGGCAGAGAAAGTCATAGCATATAGCTAGTTAATAATAGAGCTAGAATAAAAATCGGGCCAAGAATCTGCCCTCTTAACCATGATACCATGGCTAATTAAATAAAAGTAAGTAATCATACACAATTTTTCACTTAAAATTCTGTTTAAATTTGAAGGAAGTTTAGTAAAAGCATTAATACTACATATGAACTGTTGGCTCCATATTGTACTCCAAATAGTTGTATGGACACCAAACACATTTAGTTAATTTGCTTGTTTGTTTGCTTGCTTAAGACAGGGTCTTGCTATGCAGTTCAGGCTAGCCTTGAACTCACTGTGTATATACCAAGCTGCCCCAAACTTGAAGCAATCCTCCTGCCTCAGCCTCCAGAGTGCCAGGGTTATAGGCATGCACCACCACACCTTGCACCAAAACCATTTAGGTAATGGATTTGCTGACATATATTAGCAAGCCAAACTTTCCCAGCAACTTCTGTTTCAAAATGTGACTAAAGGGAAGAACAATGCTGAAGTTTCTATAATAGCAGCTTTTGGAGAAGGCTACGGCAGAAGGATCACAAGTTCAAGGCCAGTTTGGGTTTTACAGTGTTAAAAACCAGCCTGGACTCTGTAGCAAGATCTCTGTTTCAAACAAACAAACAAACAAATGAGGGAGGATATATTCAGCTGGACTTTCTGGTCCAGGTACTGGGCACTGATTTTTATCCCCAGCAGGTAAAATAACAAACCCTTTTCCCTACAGCTACTTGTACTCTCAGATTAGCCTAACAGCCGTGGTACATGCAAGTGCTGAAGAACCAGTCTTTATTTATTTATTTTTTTTTTTTGGCTTTTTCGTTTTTACCGGTACCAGGGATCGAACTCACAACTGCCTGCTTTCAAGGCAGGCGCTTATGCTGCTGAGCTAAATCCCCAGCCCCTAGAAATTACCCCTTAGGGAGGACAATGAAAGGCAGCTATTTGGTAATGAAATGCTTCCTCTAACAGCCTAGCCCCTCCCCCCCAAGACCCTGCCATCTATTGTCTCTTGGCCTCCCACAGTCATCTTGAAAGGATTTGCTGTGGTAGTGGTGGCCGTAGTGGTACTGGGGATTAAACCCAGGGCCTTTGCCCCAGCTACATCCTCGGCCTCTATTTATTTTACTTTGAGACAGCATCTCACTAAATCATTAAATTGCTAGGCCTCCTGCCTCAGCCTCCCAGAGTGCTGGGATTATAGGTATGTACCATCAGGCTAAATTTTAAAAGGTATGAATGTGTATGTGGTTTCTTCTCTATTTTGGGACAAATTATTAAACCCAAATTTGAGTTGCCTCATGAAAAAAGGTTTAAAAAAAATACTCCTCATACACTAGGGGAAAAATCGTCTCTGTTGTAAGAAGCCAATAAAAATGAATGCAGTTGGGCATGGTGGTGCACGCCTGTAATCCCACCGCTCCGGATCCTTGGGAGGACGGCTGTGAGTTTGAGACCAGCCTGGGTTATATAGTGAGATCTTGTCTCGAAAAAAATAAGAATGTGTACTTGGGAAAACAATTCACTGTTATCCAGTACATCACGGTTTTGAAATAACAGTAAGACCTTGAAGTAATTTTCCAAACTAAAAAAAAAAATATTTTCAGGGCACTTTCATACTTAGTGCAGCTATTTTTCCTATTTTATTTGAGTTGTATACATTATCTAGTGAGACGTCAAAATTACCGTTAGAGGATTTTTTGATTTGTTTTCATTTTTGTTTTTAAAACAAGGTTTAGATGTGTACTTCAGACTACCTTTAACTCACTATGTAACCCAGGCCAGCCTCTAACTACTAGTGATCCTCCTGCCTCAGCCTCCCAAGTGCTGGAATTACAGGTATATGCCACTACGCTCAGGTGTTTTTGAGGTTTTGAAAACAGTAACATAATAAACTCATAGCTTACAAGACAATGTTTTATAATGTACACGATTTGCCTTCTCTTTTTAAAAAACACACGTCACTCCATTTACCAGGCTAAGCCATGTATTTTACAGGCAAGGAAAAGGAAAGAGGGGGGGGAATGGCCAGTTCCTTTTTTACTTGCTACTGATCAGATGCTTAGCAACCATCTCTTGGATATTTTTCCACGAAGAAATGATTTTTCTACCTGCTCATTAGCTTGCTGATGTAGATTTTTGACTCACACTAAACACAGGCACCCTTTGTGTTTATGTCACTTTTCTTTGGCGATTTGCTCCAGGGCTATGTGAGCCCGGAACTGTAATCGGGCTTCCATGGGATAATCTTTGTAGTTCCTAATGTTGTTTAGGCTTTTCGTTGCACTGGCATAATCTCCTCTCAGGTAGTGTAGAATTCCCAGCTCGTAGTGAGTGTATGGCACCAAATAGTGGTCATATTTTAACGCTTTCTCCTTCTGAATAACACGGTTAAAGTAGTGCTCGGCCTTCAGGTATTTGCCTAAGTGCTTCAGGCACAGACCTTTCAACAGATATAGCAAACTTATGTCGTCTGTGCCATACACTTCATTTGGATTTTCTTGCAAAAGGTCTTTCCCTCTGTCAATTATTGACAGCCAGCTTGATATAAGCTCCAGCCTTTTGCTCATGATCCGGAATCCACTCCAGGCATAAATGAATTCCAGCAGGGGCTGTGCTGTAAACCAGCCTGTAGTAGTTCCGTAGCGCTGACCTTTCTCAGCAATGAACTGTTCTATGGGCACGGGTGTGCCTAAAATTTTGATTCTTAGGCTGTCCACATTTAAAAAGAGAGAGTTAGTGTCCTCTTTGACTGATTTCACGAAGTCAGAAGGAAGCAGAGCCAGGATGACAGCCTTGCTGTACACGTAGGTGGCCTTGGACCACCTGCTGTGCAGGTACAGCAGATGGGCACAGTAGTAAGCCTGCCTCCAGTTCTGCAGAAACACGTGGCACCACATGAGTTCCCAGTAACAGAGGTGATGAACCTGCTTCCATTCACTCTGAATAAAAATGCAGTCCTGTAATTTCAGCTGTGCCTTTTCAAAATTCCCTCTCAACATACTGAGACGCGCATGAAAAAATTTAAGTATGACACAATTTGGAAACCTCTTGAGGTAGGTTAGGAGGAGATTCTCTGTAGCAGAATTGGAGATATTTTCAATGCCAAAAGCTACATAAATGTAATTGTAATAAAAGAGTAAAGTCAGAACACTTAAAATATTATTTATATGGAGTTCAGATGCACTCTCATGAAGCAAAGCCAAGCCTACCTCTCTGTCACCAGAATATCCCACAATATTGAGAAGTTTAAGTGTCCTTGGGGGAACAAGTGATAACATCAAGTTGAACGCTCCAAGTCCAAACTTGATTCCTCCCACCAGGTGTCTGTGGGCTTTGCTATGGCTGTGAGACATATATGCCACCACCTGTTGACAATCTTTGTATGTTTGGTAACTTGCTCCAATGTTAATTCCGCTTTTAAGAAAACCAAGCAAACTGTCATCCTGTATAAACGTTATGGCAGCTTTCAAGATCAAACACTCAGCATAGCAGACCTCGGCGTGCAATTCCTCTTCTGTGACAGCATTTATTCCCTGTCTGCTCACTAGATGATATAAAGACATTAATCTTCCTTTTTTTCGGAAATTGTTACAGGTTTTCAACGCTTCCTTTGCGGCATTCATTCCAATCCGTATATCTTGTGGATCAAAAGTCAGGATGGCTTTGACAACCATCAGCATACTGTATATCAGGGCGTGGTACACGCTGTTTTTAGACCACGGGTGAATGAGGTTTATGGCATCTGAGAATCTGTTATTTAGAAACAAGTACAATCCAGTTGTACATTCTTCCAAGGAAGAGACTAGATTCATGGTTGTTGCCACAGGGATAATTTCATAGGCGTCTTCGAACTTGTCATCATGAACACTTTCTCTTTTAGGGAGTGATCTTTTTAACTTGACGTCCTTGTCAGTTTCTCTTTCACTGAAAGTGAATGACAGACTTAAAGTATCTTCTCTATCCTTTTCTCTTTTTCTTGGGATGAGAGGCATGTCTGCTTCCGCACTTAGAGCTGGAGATGTCCAAAGCGGAGTGAAGTGGTGGCCCCGAGGATAGCTCTGCTCTCCCAGCCAGGGTCTCTTCTTTCACACAAAGCTCAGTCTGAAGTGATGCTATCAAAACAGACAGAGACCAAAGACTAGCTGCGTGCTGCAGCATTAGGATATTCACATCTGTTGGATAAGAGCGGGGAGAGAATTTCACTTACTCAGAAAATGCATTTCTGAAAAGTTCAGATTATGTAGAATATACTACAGAAAACATGCTTTTTAAAAATACTTCAAAACAAATCCTTTGGCCCCAGAGTGGCTATTTATACTCTAGGATGTTGTAATGGTAGGTTCATTGTGTCAGTTTGAGAGGTTTAGAAACCTGAGTGACCCAACAAGGGCAGGGTCCTCACTCTGTAACATCCTGTGCAAGAGGAGGCCATGGAGATGGAGTGAGGCAGGAAACCTGCTGACAGCATAAAGGAGGACAAGCAGCTTGCTTTCCCTTCCTGCTCTTGTTGCTTTTGCTGTCTTCTGCCACCATGAACTGTGGCCTCCCTGCCAGGCCACCTTGCTTTGGAACCAGCTGATTCTGGACTGAAACCTCTACAGACTGTGAGCTACATAAATTTTCTTCCTTAAAAAAATTCTTTGTAAAGAATTATTCACCTGTAGCCATTCCTTCAGTACATCAATTTCATAAGGTCTTTGTGTATTTTGTTGTAGAACTGTACTGTAATGGCTATAAAATCTCTCAGTAAGAAGGCCTTGGGGGACAAAGATCTCATGGGACAGGATAATATATCTACATAGTTCGGGAGTTATGAGAAAGGAAGAGAAAAAATTATCCAGACCAAAAAAATCCCTCCCGTTATTCTTAGTGATAGCATTGTACTTCATATATATATATATAAAATATATCTCATATATATGTAGTATATACCAATATATAGGTCTGAAATTAAATATTATGGGCAGTTTTACAGGATTTTAGATACAAGGCAGAGCTGTAAACTAGGAAGATTTCCTAGCATTGTTGCAGTTAGAAAAAAGAAATTCAGCTAGGTTTGGCGGTGGTGCATGCCTGTAATCCCAGCATTTGGGAGGATGAGGCAGGAGAATCACTTACTGCAAGTTCAAGCCCACTCTTGGCTACATAGTGAGTTCAAGCCCAGGCTGACCTTCATAGGATGACCTTGTCTCAAAGAATAAATTAAGCTGGGAATTTAGCTCAGTGGCATAAGTGCCTGCCTGGTCTCACTAGGTTGTGAGTTCAATCCCTGGTACAAAAAAAAAAGAGAGAGAAAATTAATAAATAAATGACAAGTGTATTTTATTTTATTTTATTTTATTTTTTATATTTTTTTTTTTGTCTTTTTCATTTTTACCAGTACCAGGAATCGAACTCAACGACTGCCTGCTTGCAAGGCAGGCGCTTATGCCACTGAGCTAAATCCCCAGCCCCGACAAGTGTATTTTAGATTGTATTTAAATTGTATATTCAGAGGCTGGTCGTGGTGATCCTGTAGTTCCAGCACTCAGGAGAGTAGGGCAGGAAGATCACTATGAATTCAAGGCCAGCAAGGGTTACATAGTAAGTTTAAGCCCAACCTGAACTACACAGCAAGATCCCGTCTCAAAAAACCCTGTATATTGCTATAAGAACAATGGCAAGAGGGAAATATAAAGCATGGGAGATAAAGGAGAAGAAAACAAGAAAAGCAGAAGATGCATATTTTTATACGGAAGGGAAAAGAAAAAACAAAATGGTATCTTTGAGGAAAAATGATGGGGAGCCCTGCCTCAGTGCTATTATTTGAGATAAATGCTCATTTTTACATCTTAGGGTTCAGTTCGCTCAGGGTTTTAGCAAGTATAATAGTTCTTTGACAAGAAGAGCTCATTATATATGTAGCTGACTCAGTTCCGAGTTGGAAAAGGTAGGCTTTCTTTAGGAGAGAAATCAATCTTGAGACATCAGTAGGAGCAGTCAGGGATGGGAATGTACCATAGTGTTGTTTTTTTTTTTTTTTTTTTTGGTCTTTTTGTTTTTTATTGGTACCAGGGATCGAACTCACAACTGCCTGCTTGCAAGGCAGGCGCTTATGCCGCTGAGCTAAATCCCCAGCCCTGGCTACTTGGTATTTCCATTGTCTAGTTTAGGGTCCCATGAAATAAATAATTTTCTCTAGATAATACATTTTTTTTTGGTCTTTTTCCTTTTAACCGGGATGGAACTCACGACTGCCTGCTTGCAAGGCAGGCGCTTATGCCACTGAGCTAAATCCCCAGCCCTGTACCATAGTTTTTACCTAGGACTGCATACCCAGCACACGAGAAAAAAAAGGTATTCTGGCCCAAGCCAAAACACTTTCAAATTGCATTGCATAGAATTTCTATTCTTTCTTCAAGACAGTTCAGACTTTACTTTTGAAATCTTACCTAAGTCTACAAGCCTAATTACTCTCATGAGATATTCTGTGTATGTTTTATTATTTATTTTATTAGTGTTTCTTTGACCACATTATAATTATTCATAATGCTGTCTTTACTGCTAACTTCAGAACTTCAAGACATGGTTTGTGTTTTATTCAGTTTTATATCTCAATTTTAGCACACTCTCAGAAATAAATGTTTGCTAAGTGGTGTCTAGTTTTTTTCTAGTTTCTTGTTTGTTTACAATTCTGTTTTTGTTTTTGGTGCTGGAAATTGAACTATGGGCCTCTGAGCGCTGTCAGTGAGCTACACACAGCCCGTCCCCTCTAAAAGTTTCTGGAAAGCAAGTTTGAACTCGGTTGTCTGCCACATAATTGCTCGTCCCAAACAGCACATTTGAAAAAGTATTTTTGGGATTGGATTTTACTTTTTCCTTACTTCAAGGATTAACATTGGTACAGTCAATAAATTTTCAGAGATGTTGAAAGAGGCGATATTTATTTCCTCTTCTCAAAGTTCCCATATGGGAATTTTCTGCTTGATGAACTTCTGGCAGGTGGGCTAACAGCAGAAGAACGTGTTAAGCCTTCTGGATTCTTTTTTTTTTTTTTTTTTTTTTATTCAGTTAGCCTGTTCAAATGTTAACATCAAAACACAGAAGAGTTTGTTTTCTGTTCTACAGCTGTGCCTAGGCCCTGCTGAACAAATCTTGCTAGTTAAGGAATGAAACATTACTGTGTGTACTTGGTAACTAACACATAGCCATGGTTACTATAAGCTTAATCAGAAAGGTCATATTAACGGGTGCAGAAAGAAATCCAGGCACACTCCAATCTCTGATCTTTGACTGAGGGACCAAAAGCATATGCATCAAAAAAAAGAGGGCCTCCTCAACAAACAGTGCTGGGAAAATTGGTTGTCTACATGCAGAGGATTGAACCTTGACCTGTATGTCTCACCATGGACTAAAATACAATCAAGATGAATTGAAGACCTAACAGAAGCGATCTTCAGAAAGATAAAATAGGTAAAAGTCTTGAAGACATAGGCATAGGCAAGGACTTTCTGAACAGAACTCCAGTTGGACCAGAAATAGCAAAAGAATCAACAAATGGAATTACATCAAATTAAAAATCCTCTGCACAGCAAAAGAACCACCAACATAGTGAACAGACACTACAGAATAGGAGAAAAGTTACCAGCTACTCCTCAGACACAGGAATAATATCTAGAATATATAAAGACCCCTCAAAATAAAAGACCCAATCAAAAGGCAGGCAATTGAAATGAATAGAAACTTCTCAGAAGAACAAGTGGTCTAAAAATACATGAAAAAATGTTCAACACCTTTGGCCATGTGAGAAATGCAAATTAAAACAAAACCGAGATTCCTTTTAACCCTAGAAAGAAAGATTTAACATCAAGAACTCAAAAGGCAACAAATGCTGGCAAAGATGTGGGAGGAAAACAATATTTCTGCGTTGTTGGTAAGACTGTAAACTAGGACAATCATATGAAAACCAGTATGGAGATTCTTCAAAAAATAATTAGAAATTCCATTCAACCAAGATTTCTGAGTTAAATATACCATATTACAGTAATATGTCCATTCTCGTGTTTATAGCAGCACAACTCACAGTGAGTAAATCTTGGTTGGAACAGGCCAAATGCCCATTAACAGACAAATGCATAAAGACAGAGTGGTGTGTCTATACACAGTGGAATACTACTTGGCCATAAAGAAAGATATATTTGAGTCCTCTGTAGGAAAATGAATGCAACTTGGGACCACAAGGCTTAATGAAATAAATCTGACACACAAGCTTAAACATCACCTAGTTTTTCTAAATGAAAAACCCAAAGTATAAACACAGAGCAAAATAAAAGATCCAGAGGAAATGGAGAGAAAACCCTTTGTGAAAGAGAAGACCTAGAGATGGAGGGCGGGAAAGGGAGGTAAAAAGGGTTAAGGTGTGAATGTACATGTAGCAACTTCCCAAGAAATGTACGCACAAAGTATTGCAAACATGAACTAACTTTAAAAAATTTAAAAGTCACGTTTCAGCCCCCTTTCACCTGACTTTTTTGCATTATATCCCTTCAACTCTGAACTTGGGGGAGGGAACATGTTGTTATTGGCCTTTAAAACCACCACCACCTCTTCCTCCTCCTCCTCCTCCTCCTGCTCTTCCTCCTGCTCTTCCTCCTCCTCTTGTCGTGCTCCCTATCTGGATGGTTGGTACCATCCGTTGCCCATGCTAGGATCCCTTTCTTCTCCCCTGCCCGCCCACCAGTGACCAAAGCCCACCAGTGGCTCTCCCCTGCTGAAAGACTTTTCTGTGTCCTATCAGCTTAGGCTCCCCACAGTGCTTATCGCTAAAGTAGTGATACAGAGAAAGCCAGAACTGTGGAGTTACGTTAGGTTGGAATCCTAATTTTGGCACTTGCTTGGCCTTACTGTGTGCCTCGTTTCCTTGTGTGGAACAGACAAGAACAGAACCTCTGCCAGAGGTGGTTTGGAACATTCCCGTAATATTCTCTGTTCTATTCTTCTCAAACAAACAGCAGCCGAGATACACAGTCAATAATTTTACTGCTCTGTGTCCACCTCCTGCACACACATGCACAGCCTGGCCTTCGGTGGTGCTGCGAGAGAGCTGTTTTATTTGAGGCTTGCGATGCAGGCTGCTTGTGGGCAAGTCCCAAAGCTTTCAGTAACAGATGCAAAGCTCTGGTTGTGCCTCTTT